TCATCTTTAAAGTTGTTCAAATGAAGTTCTTAGCGATGCATATTACTAATCAAACACTATGTTTATGGTAGGAAATGCACAAAATATCTTCATGGAACATGATCTTTACTTAATATCCTAATGATTTTTGGCATAAAAGAGAAATGTATAATTGTGACCCATACAATATTGTGACCCTGAAGCACAAAACCAGTCATAAGTGTCAATTTTGTGTAATTGAGATGTATGCATCATCTGAAAGCTGAATAAATAAGCTTTCCATTGATGTATGGTTTGTTAGGATCGGACAATATTTGAAAATCTGGAATCTGAGGGTGCAAAAAAATCTAAATATTGAGAAAATCATCTTTAAAGTTGTTCAAATTAAGTTCTTAGCAATGCATATTACTAATCAAACATTAAGTTTTGATATATTTACGGTAGGAAATGTACAAAATATCTTCAAGGAACATGATCTTTACTTAATATCCTAATGATTTTTGGCATAAAAGAGAAATGTATAATTGTGACACATACAATGTATTGTTGGCTATTGCTACAAATATCCCCCAGCGACTTAACACTGCTTTTGTGCTGCAGGGACACGCATAAGTAATACCTCACCTCTGAAACCACTTTCCTTTATGCTGAATCGCCTTTGAATCATAATATGATTTGTTGTAGCATGCTCTGAGAAACAAACGTCCTCAGCGAGCTGCTGTCTAGAGGTCCGCGGGTCTAACCAGGTTTTGTGTGTCGATCAGGACGAGGGTCTGAGGCTGAGGAGGTTCCAGCGCAGCGAACACGTCACGATGAACTCCAGCTCTGCTCTGGGTCTCGAGTCCAGAGCCGGATCTCTTCCCTCGCTGCTCGTCGTCATCGCAGCCGTCTTCATCGGATTCTTCCTCGGCAAGTTCATCCTGTAGAGCGACTCCAGCTCTCTCGGTTTGGGTTCATCCGCTGTTTTCTGTTGAGGGATGGATGGATGTTAGAGCCATGAACTGCTGTGTCCAGCCAGATCTGAAAGTCTTCCCCTCAAACTCGTTTCGTTTCACTCAAACTCCCGTCGAAAGTGTAAATGTGGTTTTAATCTTCTGACCGAACAGGAGCCTGCTTCTGTGCATTCGTTCTGCTTCCGTTCCTAACGACACCAACGCAGACTGTTTTATTACTGTAATTATCATTTATTGATTATATTATTAATGTACTTTCTCGTGTTCACTTTACTGTCGCATACTAGACGACATTGAAGAAATAAAACGAAAGAAAAAACTGAGCCTGTCTTTCATTCGTCTCTTTGCGCTTTTATTGTTGCGTTTCTGTAATTAATTCAGCTTGGACTTCTGGTTTTGGCTTCTGTGAATGTTATACTGAAGGATGGATGTGATTAAAATGATTAAAGTGAACTTTTTCTTCTTGTATTCAAATGTTTTAGTAAATATACGCTGCTGTTCAGAAGCTTGGGATCTGTAAGATTTGTAATGTTTTTAAAGAAGTCTCTTCTGCTCGTCAAGGCTGCATTTATTTGATCAAACATACAGAAAAAACTGTAAAATTGTGAAATATTATTATAATTTAAAACAGCTGTTTTCTATGTGAATATGTGTTAAACTGTAATATATTTCTGTGATGTGCAGCTGTATTTTCAGCATCATTCCTCCAGTCTTCAGTGCCACATGATCTTCAGAAATCAGTATAATATGCTGCTTTATTATCAATGCTGGAAACAGTTGCTGCTTCATATTTTTTTGAAAGCTGTGATACTTTCTTCAGGATTCTTTGATGAATAAGAAGTAAAAAAGAACAGCGTTTACTTAATATAGAAACCTTTTGTAACAATATTACAGTAACATTCAAAAGTTTGGGGTCAGTAATTTTGTTTCTTGTTTTGAAAGAAGTTAATACTTTCATTCAGCAAGGCTGTGTAAAATTGATTTTAAAAAGTGACCGTAAAGACCTGTGTTGTTAGAAAAGATTTCTATTTTGAATAAATGCTGTTCTTTTTAACTTCATCACAGAAACCTGATTTCTGAAGATCATGTGACACTGAAGACTGGAGGAATGATGCTGAAAATCACAGAAATATATTACAGTTTAACAGAGATTCACATAGAAAACAGCTGTTTTACATTGTAATAATATTTCACTATTTTACAGTTTTTTCTGTATTTTTGATTAAATAAATGCAGGCTTGATGAGCAGAAGACTTCTTTAAAACACAAACTTTTCAGCTGCAGTGTATGTGTAGATAAATATTGCTGTTTATGACTATATATTGTATATTGGTGCATAGAAAGAAAATAATAAATATGAAGCTCTATTGTCAACAGGCTAAACATTTTTATAAAATGTATTAATAATGCCCAGCTCAACAACAGACTGCAATCTAAATTCTAAAAAGGTTTTATTTTTATTTTTTTTAGCAAATTCATAGAGACAAACGATCATTTTCAATTTTCGTAATTTCGTAATTTTTCACTGACCTGCTTTTTTGCAACGAATGTAATGATTAAAAAACACACGTTGCTTTATTTGTTTTGTACGATCCAGTTTTTTGGAAACTTCTAAACTCTCAAACAAGTGTTTTTGGCATTTAAAGTGTCAGAATAAAGCATTTCGCTCTCAGGATTGAAACAAACACTGACCGTCGCTGTAGTTCATCATCATACACGATGAAAACAAAGAACTAAACTAAACATCGACTGCTCCTTCAGTAAATCCTGAGCGATTCATCCGTCGTCTTCATGAGTTCAGATGAATCCCAATCAGTTTCACAGAAACGATCCAAACAGCTGCAAAGAACGAAGCGTTTCTCATTTCTGTCTCAATGTGCAGCTTAACATCTTTATAGAAAAAACGGCGGATGGAATGCTTTCATTCAATGCATCTGACCACGTTATCGTATGGAGATAGAATTGTTGCTTAATTCCAAATAAATAGATTATGATCCACAAATAAATGTAAAGAGTCTAACAAACATTAAACATATTGACAAATAAATAGAATGAGATCCACAAGTTTCACAAACATGAATTAAATTCTTAAGACTTTTAAGATTTATTTATGGATCGTAATCTATTTATTTGGAGTTAAGCAGCAATTCTGTCTCCATATTATCGTGATATTTTGCTGTTGCTGATTCCTGTGAGAGTGAATTTATGGTTAGTGCAGGGTCAGAGATGAACAGCGTCTGTCAGAAACTCTCTGATCGTCCTAAAAACACCGAAGGCCTGATCCACGACGTCGAGAAAAATCAATCAGTGTCTCAGATGCTTCCCGAGCTCAAGTCCTAAGATGATTTACTGCAGCTTCAAAAAACATTCATTATTTTCTAAATGTTTTTCGAAAAGTTTTAAGGGATGAGATATAAAAAATGTTTTCTTTTGGGATGAGAATTTTTTTTTTTGTTGAGATCAAATTTTTCTCATCATTTTTTTTTTTTTAGCTCATCCCAAAAAATGTATCTCATCCAAAAAAAAACAATTTTTTTATACCTCAATTTTTCTCATCAAAAAAAAGATTTTTTTAAGGGATGAGATATTAAAAAAAAATTGGGATGAGAAAAAAGTTTTTTGTTGAGATATAAAAAATGTTTTTTTTTTGGGATGAGAAAATTTTTTTTTGTTGAGATCAAATTTTTCTCATTTTTTTTTTAAACTCATCACAAAAAAAATGTAGATCTCATCCCAAAAAAATTTTATACCTTATTTTTCTCAAAAAATTTTTCTCATCAAAAAAAAGATTTTTTTAAGGGATGAGATGTAAAAAAAAAATTGGATGAGAAAAAAAGTTTTTGTTGAGATAAAAAAATGCTTTTTTGATGACTTCAAGGTTTTTTGTTGAGATAAATGTTGTTGTTTTGATGAGATAATGTTTTTGATGAGATAGAAAAAAAAGTTTTGTTTTTGTTGAGATAAAAAATGACATTTTAATGACATTTAAAACATTTATTTGGGTGAGATCTAAAAAAAAATTATAAAATTTTTATGAGAAAAAAAAGTTTTTTTGTTGAGAATTTTTTTTGGACGAGATATGAAAAAAAGTTTTGGGATGAGAGAGAGAGTTTTTTGGGAGATACAAAATAATCTGAGAGAAATCATCTTTGGACTGGGGCTCAGGAAGGATCTAAGACATTCGTTTTTTTCCCCAGCTTGAGTTTTTTTCACGCTGTGATTCAGGACTTTCGAAACTGAAGTACCAAAGCTTCTGGAAGTCAGCAGTGATTATCTACAGTTATAATATTTCCCTTTCCTTCCATGCAGCCCTTAAAATGTTCACATCGTCTCAAACTCACTCGTGCATAAAAACACTCCTCATATGAACATCCACGTCTCACTCATACAGGGAAAAACACCCAGAAATGAAGGTTCTGTCATCATTTTGTCATTTAAGCTGTTCATTTTCTGTCAAACATTTAAGGAAACAAACCAACACATTTTTATAGACAGCCACGTTTGGAAACAAGCTCATATGTGTCAGATTTGATCCTAAATTCTATGGATTTCATGCTCCATCAAACTGAGGAACAAAACGGGATTTATAAAGGCAAAAACTGACATGAAAAATTATTAATCCAACATTGTTCATTAAAATAGACAACCACAATATGCATTAATATTATTAATAATATGCGAAAATGGGCAACTGTGATAATTACACTACAGAAAATAATTAATCAATTATATATTATTTCCTCCTGAAGGAAAAAAAAGAGAAAAAAAGCCAGGAAATTATATATAATTGATTAATAATTTTTATTATATATTACAAAAAAAAAATATATATATATATTTTTTTAAATTCTTATATTTGTTTATATTATTTGCATATTTTTATATTATTAATTATATATATATATATGTAAATATTTTATAGATAGATATAAAATATAGAAATTATAATTTATCAATTAATTTTCTTTATTATTTTCCAGAAAGAAAAAAAAATATATGTATGTATTCAATCATACAATGTATTAATGCATTAGGATAATTTTATGCATGTCTATAGATGAAGCCCCTGGACTCTATGAACTGTCGTCGCATTGAAAGTGAATAAATAATGACAGAATCTTTGTTTTTGGGAGATTTGCAGGCATGTTTAGGATGTAAAGTCCCGTCTGGATGAAAGCGCAGGGCTTCTAGTAAAGTGCGGTTCCTGCTGTGCAGCAGTTTTCGTTCGTCCCGTCCCGTCAAGTGCATTCTGGGTCACAAACATCTGTTTGTTTTTACGTCTCTCAGCCCAAGAAACCCGTAAACGCCAAACTCCAGACCGCTGCTGCCGCCAGGTCGCCGGCCCAGCTGCTGGGGCGCTGCGCGGCGCTGACCTCTGACCTCTGACCTCCAGCGGCGGAGCACTGCACGAGCGGCGTCTGGTAGGATGAGGGCCGTCTCTCGGGCCGGTCGGGGCTGGAGCCGTCGCTGGGCCGCTGGCCGTTAAACAGCAGCAGGCGTCCGCCGGCGTCACGCTCCAATCGGAAGAGCTCATACTCTGTGTGCGGGAGGCGGAGCCCCAGCGCCGCGCAGCCATTGGTCGGAGTCACGTCCTGCTCCACGCCCACCTGCCACGAGCCCTGAACACCGCAGCCGTTCCCGTTAAACACGTTCAGCAGAGACGTGCTCGCCAGATCCCTCGGTGTCACGCGCATCTGACTCACTGGAACACCAAACACACACAGCTAGCTAAATATATATCTGTATAATATACAGAGAGAGAGAGACGTTGTTTCGAAACATTAAGGTTTTAAGAGTATCAATTTATGATATACACAATTTTCTAATTTTATATATATCTAATATATATATATAATTAAGCCTATGTTTCAGAATGTTAGGATTTTAGAATTGTTATGTTCAGAACTATTAAGATTTTAGCTTTTAATATTTTTATTTTGCATTTTGATATATAACATAAATAGGATAAAGCTTGTTTTTTGTGTTGTTTTTTTTTGTTTCTATTTATTTTTACTTTTCCCACTGATATACACACTTTTTTTTCAGAAGAAAATTATATGTTTATTTATTTATATATATAATTGTTTTGCCTGATACAGATTAAGATAATATTTTTAATAAGATAAAGTCATTGAGTCTTAAGATTTTATTTTTTTTGGAACCAATTTTTTTTGCATTATATATATATATATATATAAACAAATATCTATAAAATATTTATGAAAACCTATAAATAAATATATGTTTTGATGTTTAGAACCAGTACGATTTAAGATTAGTATTTATTTATAATCATTTATTAATTTATATATATATATACATAAATATATTAGTTATTATTATTTCATTTGTATTTATTTTTTTGCATTGTGATATACAGAGAAATACAGTATATATACATATTTCTATAAATACAATATTTATAAATATCTATGTTTTGGACAGTTAAACTTTAGATTTATTTATTTTTAGAACCATTACAATTTAAGACTTTTATTTATTATAATTAATTAGTTAATTAATTGGTTAGTTAGTTGCATAGTGATACACACATATATACAGGTATATATATAAAGCGTAGTGCACCACAATAAAACCCCCAAGCCGTGTTTGTAAGGAGTTATTCTGTTAAATGAGTTGAACTCTGACCTCTGAACACAAACTCAGTGCCGCCCATGACGCGTGTGGAGCGCAGGCCGCGGCTGTAGCGTCCGCGGGCGAACAGGCTGAAGGTGGGGTGTCTGCAGGCCGGGTCAGAGTAGTGATAGTAGTGACCCTCCCAGGTGTGGTTGTCCTCGTGGAAGATGAAGTGTCGCGTGAGGAACAGGACCGCGGGCCGGACCTCGCAGCGGCGGGAAGCCCACTGGCCCCTCAGGGTCACCGTCAGCTCGGGCCGCAGCGGGAGAACCGGCGGATCAAACTCGTCTGAGCTGGAGACGATGCGGCAGACCACGCAGCTGAGATCCTGATTCTGAGGACACACGTGACATCACACTCTTTTCAGCCGCTTTAAAGGTGACATATCATGAAAATCTGGCTTCTCCAGGTGTTAAGTGCTATAATCAGGTCCCCGGTGCAGCTACCAACCAAGCATATTGTGTTTTCACAAGCGACAGCGGTGTAGCAACTCTAATGCCATGGAGAAAGTTTGAGCGAAGCACGCTAGCTGTTCTGTGTTTGGCTGCAGAGACGAGCACAGAACACTGTTTAGAGTCCCAGCCTCAGAGACGACAGAGCAGTGCATTTATTGATGTATTTACTGTATATTGCTGCTGCCTCACAGATCTACAATAAACATGTGATTTATAGAGCTGAACCTTCACAGACACATTCTGGGGACACCTGAGACATATTGTAGAAAGGGGCGTAATATGTCTCCTTTAAATGCATTGGCCTCTGATCGAGCTGATCATCTAATGAGCCATTCGTTTATTTTTCAGTCTGATCTCATGTTAGTAGCACATACTGAGTTTTTTATTTGGAACATGTTTTATGCTACTGTATGATTTTTTACAATGTTTTTGGAAGTCTCTTCTGCTCACCAGGGCTGCATTTATTTGATTAAAAATACAGTAAGAATTGTGAAATATGATTGTAATTTAAAATAGCTGTTTTCTGTGTGAATCTCTGTTAAACTGTAATATATTTCTGTGATGCGCAGCTGTATTTTCAGCATCATTCCTCCAGTCTTCAGTGTCACATGATCTTCAGAAATCAGTATAATATGCTGATCTGCTGCTCGAGAAACATTTCTGATTATTATCAATGTTGAAAACATTAATATTTTTGTGGAAACTGTGATGCATTTTATTTTTCAGGATTCACAGATGAATAGAAAGTTCAGCATTTGTTTGAAATAGAAATCTTTTGTAACATTATAATGTCTTTACTTGCACTTTTGATACATTTAATGCATCCGTGATTAATAAAACCTATTATTATTTAATCCTACCTACACCAAACTTTTGAAGGGTCAGGTTTCACGGTTTCCACATAAATATGGTGCAGCATGGATAATAATCAGAAATGTGTCTCGAGCAGCAGATCAGCATATTATACTGATTTCTGAAGATCATGTGACACTGAAGACTGGAGTAATGATGCTGAAAATACAGCTGCGCATCACAGAAATACATTACACTTTAACACATATTCACACAGAACACAGCTGTTTCACATTATAATATTATTTCACTATTTTTACTGAGTAAAGTAGTAACTAGTAATTTACTAGTTCTGTCTGTGAATCATCTGGACTAGATTTCAACAATTCTGATCACAAAGACACAATTACCTTTCCACATTCATCTATAATCAATATTATTATTATCATCCACTACTTCATATAAACCTGCTTCTAAACGACAGAACAATCTGTTCTTTTGTGCATCCGTTCATCTTTCTAGGCCTTTTTGTTTTACTTTTTTGTTTACTTATTTTTATTGCAAAACAAAACAAATACACTTATGTTAAGAAGCAGGGTTATTATTAAATAAAACTAAAATCATTTAAAAAAACATTTCTGTTACTTGAAATAACATAAACAATAACTGAATTAGAATATGATTATATATATATATATATACAGTATATATATTTTTATTTATAAATTTTTTATTTTCATTTAAAGTTGACATACTAAAATGACTAAAACTAAAACTAATAAATAAATCAAAATCTACGTATATTAGCAAAAATGACAAAATTTTTAAATAAAATTATAAAAAATATTTACAAAATATTTACAAAATAATAAATTGTAATAACATTAACTATTTTACATGATTATAAATATTGTTAAATAATGTTAAATAATTATAAAATAATATAATACCAATAATATTGATAATTATTATTTTATTCAATAAATAATTCTAATATTAAAAATAATATATTAAAGTTGAAGTACTAAAATAACAAACTAAATAAAACTAAAACTAATAAATAAAAATCTCTAATAAAAATGAATAAATATAAATAACACTAACATTTCAAAACTAATAAAAATGACAAAAACACAACAAAATTACTAAACTTTTAAATAAAATAAAAATATTAAATTATATTTCATAAAATTATAAATAATGATAATAATATGAAATGATATTATATGACATATAATATACAAATATTACTAATATTAAAAATAATAATAATAAATCTTTTTTATAATAATAAATAATTATTATATTAAAAATAATACATGAAAGTTGAAGCACTAAAATAACTAAAACTAATAAATAAAAATTTATAAATAAAAGTCTATATACTATTTCAAAACACCACAACTAATAAAAATGATAAAACACAATAAACTTACTAAAATGTTAAATAAAATTATAAAAATATTTCATGATATTTCATAATAAAAATATTATTAAATATTTTATATAATAAATATTACTAATATTAAATAATTATAAAATTACATCATAATTTTTAAAATAAATTAATAATAATAGATATTTTATACAATAATAAACAATACTAATATTAAATAATATGAAGAATAATAGATAATAACAATATTACCTTTAAATATTTTATACAATAATAAATAACACTAATATTAAATGACATTTATAAAATAATACATAATATTTATATTAAATAATAAATAATAATAAATAACATTTATAAATAAATATTCCAAAATTGGGTTTTCGCAGTAATTAACCATTCCAAGTCAACCGTTCTTAAAATAAACCTTTTTTTTTCTTAATGGAAAAATTAATTAACACACACACACACTCTCTCACACGCACTCACTCACTCACTCACTCACACACACACGCATGCACTCTCACACGCACTCACACACACACACACACACACACACTCACTCACTCACTCACACACACACACACACTCACTCACTCACTCACTCACTCACTCACTCACACACACACACACACGCACGCACTCTCACACGCACTCACACACACACACACACACACACACTCACTCTCTCTCTCTCACACACACACACACACGTTGAGAACGTTCATCTAAAGAACCTTTTTGACAATCTAAGGAACCATCCATGCAAAAGAGTGTAAAATGTCTTGAAATGTCACGATGTTAAATCAGACCTCAGACCTCAGATCTCAGCATCTGTCATCCATTCAGAAACCCATAGAACACAGTCTAACTGCAGGCCGTTTACAGTTTGAATGGTTACGCTTCACAGTTGAATGATGCTGTCACCTGTGTGTTCTGCAGCGCGGGCTGGTAGCTGGAGGGCCTGTAGAGCATCCTCTGCGCCGCTTCGGTGTGAATGTCTCCCAGATAAAGCTCCTCCAGCGGCTGATCCAGACTGTGATGCAGATACTGCTTCTCCAGCCGCAGCAGCTGCAGCTCGTGCATGGAGAAGTTCAGTGCACAGCCGCAGTCGCTCCACAGCTCGTAGCTCACGTTCGGCAGCCAGGAGCCCAGATCCCTGCAGCTGTGCTTCAGCCGCTGAGCGAGCTCTCGGGCCGCAGATGCCGAGTGACACACCAGACGTGTGCCGTGGATCTGATAGTCGGCCTCGGTGCCGCCTCGGATGATCCAGGACGCCTGCCGCAGACGCAGACGGCCCCGGATCAGCAGCGTGTAGCTCGGCGCGGTGCACTGATCGTCTGCGTAGTAGAACTGATGCGCCTGAAACGTGTTGTTGTGAAAGAAGCGGTACGAGCGAGTGATGAACTCCGGACCGGGACGAACCTCACAGCTGCCACGAGAAGTCACAGAAAACACACGCTCACCATTAACTAATGTAAAAATATTAGAATATTAAATACGATTTATAAAACAATTAATTAGGATAAATACTAAAAAATATTTTATAAAATAATAAAAATATAAAATCAATATATAAAACAATAAACAAGGATAAAATTAAATAGTATTAAATAATAAAAATATTAAATAATATTTATAAAACAATAAACAAGGTTAGTATGAAATAACATTTAATAAAATAATAACTAAATATTAAATATAATTTCTAAAACAATAAACAAGAATACTATTAAGTAACATTAAATAATATTGTATTAAATAATTACAAATATTAATTAATAACACAAACCAGTCATCATTAACTCACCAAATATTAAGTTAAGGTATTAAAATATTAAATAAGACTTATAAAACAATAAATAAGGATAATATTAAGTAATATTTTATAAAATAATAAAAATATAAAATCATGTTTTATAAAACAATAAACAAGGATATTAAAACGTATTAAATAATATTTTATAAAATAATAAATGAAATTTAAAAACAATAAATAAGAACACTATTAAATAATATTGTATAAAATAATTAAAAATAAAAATAATTCACCCAAAAAACACTAATCAGTTATCATTAATTCACCAAATCTTAAGTTTTTTATCAAACACTAATAAAAATATTAAATAAGATCTATAAAACAATAAATAATGATAATATTTGATTAAACAAATATGTAATATTTATATTAAATAATACTAAATATTTTATTTAAAAAAAAATATATATATATATATAAAATAATAACTTTAAATTATATATTATTATGTAATATAATATAAATAACTAATATTTCACTCTCATTCCAAACCCATATGACTTTCTCCCTGCTTTAAAGAAATGGACTTGTTGTTTTTCATGAAATTAAAATGAGTGGAAACTGAGGCACTCACACGCACTCACACACGCACTCACACACATACACACACATACACACACACACTCTCTCACACGCGCTCTCTCACACGCACTCACACACACACACACACACACACACTCTCTCACACGCACTCACACACACACACACACACACTCACTCACTCACTCACACACACACACACACACACGCACGCACTCACACACACACACACACACACACACTCTCTCACACGCACTCACACACACACACACACACACTCACTCACTCACTCACACACACACACACACACACGCACGCACTCACACACACACACACACACACACACTCTCTCACACGCACTCTCACACTCACACACTCACACACAGACACACACACTAAAGTTGAACTGATACATATAGAATCCCATGCTCTCTCTCTCCGTCTCTCTCTCTCTCTCACCTGGTGGAGACCCAGTGTCCCTGGATGTTGGGTGGCATCTGGACAGTGATGCGAGCACCGTTCTGCAGGTGTTTCAGCGTGTGGAGACACTGTGTGTCTTTGGACGGCCAGACGAGACTCTTCTCTAGAGCCAGACGAGGAGACGAGCCCTTCACACAACCTGATGAGATCAAGCACAGCAAACACAGCTCATCTCATGCAGATCGAAACACTGAAATAATACGATCTGAAAATGTACTCCAGTTATCAAAATTATCTAGCACTTGAGAAACACTCCAGCAACACCTTAAAGGGATAGTTACCCTGAAATGAAAACTTTCTGGTAATTTACTCATCCTCGGGCCATCCAAGATGAAGAAGTCCTTTTTTTCTTCAGTAGAACAGTAAAGAAGATTTTTTTTAGCTGAAACCGTGCTCCCTGGTGATTCATATAATGAAAGTCAATGGCTACCATCGCTTTGAGAGTCAAAATATTATATACAGGCAACACAAAATAAATCCTTGTGGCTCCTGATGATATATTGAGTTCTTATGAAGAGAAACGATCAGTCTGTGCAAGAAACTGAACATTATTTACAGCATTATTACTGTAATCCGGTCTGGAGTGATGTTCGGTTCACGAACGAATCATTCTTTTGAACTGATTCTTTTTAGTGAACTAGTTGAATCAGTTCATCGAATCAGACTGAATCATCTGAATCAGTTCGCGGCTCGAGCAGCACAGATCTACAAGTTACTGAATCAGAAGTCACTTTCAGACGCCTGACAGTCACTCTGACTCCAAATGAGCCGAAATACTGTCGTATCTGATCCTGTGATGAATGAATCATTCAGTGCTGAGGAAACAGTTCGACTCGGACCGAAGACCGATGAGC